TGAGTCCCCTCAGGGAAAAGGGCGGCCTACAAATATTAATAAAATCTCTCAAAAAATCTCTCAAATAAATATCAACAAATGGAAAGAAAGGAAAATAGTTTTTTTTGTAAGCTTGTGAAATAAGAGAAAGGCAAAGGCTATAAAAGATTTAAGTAGAAATGATGTGATCTTGTGGAGTAGCGTTCATTAATACATGCAGGGAAGTGAACGGGGAGTTTTAATTATGAATGAAAGGGCTAAATGTATGCCAGAAAATATGAATTGATCTCATTTTTATTCTTGTGGATGTCTACACAAAAAGGAGATACTTTGCTGATAATTGCATGTTACGCTCTAGTGAATGGTGATAATGAAAGAACCAGAGATGCATTGGGGGGGTGGGGGAATGTGCCACGCTTGGAATGAATGCAATCCAAAAGAAAGATTTGTTCTGCTTGCAGACATAAATGGCTGGGTGGGATAAGACATGTGAGTGCAGAAAAGTGATTGGGCTTTTCAAAGGCTCAAGAATGAACGGGAATGATGATTGATTGGTTAATTTCTGCTTAGAAAAAAGTCTGTTTCAGTGTGCACTTTAATGATATGTCTATTCATGGAAGAGGAATGCACTCCAAAGGATGATTGATATGTTCATTTATCAGGACCGCCACTGATCTGTAAGATACCTTTGCACAAAATGTATTTTGTCACCCCTTCCGCATAATCATTTTACTTGCTATTTTTGAGAAAGAGGATAGTAGTTAAGACTAGACAGGAAGTTTGTGATAAGCTTCAACAGTGGAGGGGTGTCGTTTTGTTGCTGCCTAGAAGAAGACTTGCCACAGCTTATATTTGTTAGGCTGAGCTTTCCAGAACTGCAACCATATGTGCATTGAAAGATGTTCTGGGCACTCATAGTTTCAGATTGTGCAATACATATGATTTCTCTGAGCTGATATATAGCATTTGTTTTGGAAGAAGTGAAATCTGATGTGAGTTAGCTGATGCAGTTGGAATGGAGAATAGATTTTGAACACTTAATTTGGTGCCATTCCCCACCCCATCATGGTGCCTTTGTGCAATCTGATTGCAATGGCCCTTCCATTTACGATGAAGAATGAGAAAACAGTAAAGGATACAATGATGACAGATTCTGAATATGGCACAGACCGTTGACAGTGTCAAGAATGGATCCTGGGTAGATAGGCACAGAAGAAAGGAAAGTAATGAAAGAAACTAGAATGGAAGAATGGCTGCATGAAGAGAAAGTTCAAATCCTTATTTTAAAAAAAGTGAAGACAGATTAATCTCCCAACAGAATTGATAAAAGTGACCATAAGAAAAGACAATAGTGAAAGTGCTTGGAATAGACTGAAATAAATGATGTATGAATGATGCCACAGAACCATGTTGAGTTTGTTTATGCAAAGCATTAAAATTGATGCTAAGTGGAGTTTATGAGAATCATAACAGTAAATAAAGCAAGCCTGTCAATATTTAGAGAGACTAAATGAACTGAAAAATGTATGAATTAAGAATGAATGTATCAGGAAGAAAGGGGAGCATTGAAAAAGTTGTGGCTGAAATGAGATCCCCAAAAAAGGAGAAAATGAGCTTAAAAAAATAAAAGGCAGTCTGTAAATTGATCTATAGGCCTGGTGGTTCTATAAGATAATATAGTGAATGAGGTTGATGTACCTTATCCTAATTTAACTGTATTTGCCTTTCTTTTTCTTACCTTATCTTAATTCTTTAATTGCTATATCTTGCTTGTTTTATCTTACTTTTTTTCTTAGCTTAGTCCAAAAAATAACAGTACTTATAAGTCTATTATTTGATTAACCATCAACTAAATGAACTATGTCCATCTTGTCACTATTTGCTGAATCCTGTTTATTGAACAAAACACAATTGGCTGCATTTGCACAATACACCATACCAAAATCAAACCAAAAGTATTATGGCTTAGAGTGTGAATGCAATGAACCCCACTGACGTTTTGAGTAATTCTTGTTTCGGTCCATTTCCAAATTAAAGATAGGTCTGATTCAAGCCTCAATTAACTGTGATCCACCCTTTCACTTCTTATTCCAGGATTAGCATTCTTAAACCCTGGCCTGTTAAAGCCCAGGACAAGAATCTTAATAAAGTTCTGCTTTTCTCCATTTGTAGAAGAATCAAAGTAAACAAACACTCAAAACAGCAAAATAACGTGTTGCTTTTTAATTTCGCTCACAGCTCCCAATAAATGTGAATTAAACTGCATCCCAAAAGGAGAAAATTTCTACTATAGGCAGAAAGAAGCCGTCATTGATGGAACTACTTGTGAACCAGGGATGAACGATGTTTGCGTGCAAGGGACCTGCCACGTATGTATTTTGTCTTGACTCACTTTCAGAAAGAATTCCACCTTTCCTGCCTTTTTTAACTCATAGATGAACTCTGAACTTCCCCAGACCATTTATGGAATAATTTCGTTTTGTCCTACCGCAGATTTATTCAGTAAACTAAGCTGAGAGCTTCAAATTCACATACCACGACTAGCTTTTTGTTTTGTTTGAACAATAGTTTTGTTGACCAAGCCATAATTGATGGCATTCGCTCCACCTGCTTAGCATTAAAACGCATTCTATAAATCATGTTGTCTGAGTCCACATCATATCTAAAGCCAGACAAAACCAAGGGTGAGGAGGGCTTTATTGGCCAAGAACTGCCTTTATCTTGGGGGAGGGGTGTAGGCTGCTTTTAAGCAGGTGGGGCATCATACATTAAAGGAGGTATTGCAAGATTTGGCAAGCTTCAACATTTGCCTTCCCTAGAGCTAAAGCTAATAGTTAACCTTCTGTTGGGGGTTTTTTTGGGGTGGTGGTGGTGGTGGTTTACTGAATAGCAACATATTGGCCACGCAATTCAATTCTATTCTGTCTTTTATTGCAAAGATGCCTTCCATATTTCTTTTGGCCAATTCAGTCTTTCCTCATTCCCCTGCTCATTTCTTCCAGCACTTTGTTGACTATAATCAGGTAGTCCTTTAGACTATCCAGAATGTTTTTTTACAGTCACTGTATAATTTGGGGTGAGGGCCTGACCTCCCAGAATAATTAAGAGATAGTCAGAAACCTGGGGGAGATTAAAAAGAAGTAGCCTTCTGGGAGAAATTCAGACCTAACAGATTAGATCAGAGGACCCAAGAGACCAAGGATTGCTGTGTATTTTTCTTTGCTGAGTTGTGTGCATCTAAAATCCTCATTATGGCACTGGGAGATAACAGAGAGGGGAAGGGAGAGGATTGTAGTTCAGACGCTGTAAGATAAAGAAGTCGCTGAGGATTTTATTCTGCTAGTCATTGCTAACTTTAAGGGATGGTACTCATCTCTGCTTCAAGACCATTGAGCCAGCACTGTCCGAAGACATTTCTGTGGTCATGTGGGCAACATGATGTCATGGAGTGCTGTTACCAGATGCTGATACCAGATGCTGTAGGACAGTGTTTTTCAAACTTGTTAGCTTTAAGATATGTGGATTTCAACTCCCAGCCAGCATGAAATTGATGTCTGGGCCCTTCGCATGTTAAAAGGCCTTTTTGGAAACAGTTCATGTCAGTGGATCTCCATCTTATAAACAACAAAACCAAAGGAGAAATGAAGAATATACTCTTTTTTTTTTGCTTGGGAGAAGGCTCAGATGCACCTTGATTTTAAACTCTTTTAGCTCCTGAACTTCCACCCTTGCCCACCAGAGGGTTTCCAAGGACCAGAAAAACCATCAACGGACCAAGAACTTGACTGTTGGGGGAAAGCATCCCTGAGTTAGCCGATATTTTAACAACATGAATTTTGCTACCCCCCTTTGCTAACCCTTCTTTTGCTTTCTCTGCCAAATGGTGTCTCAATTATCTGTGCGCAGGCTTGATGGCAAAGCTACTGGTTCAGCTTTTGGGTTCTTCTTCCTTTCCATTTAAGCCTGAAACCAACCAGAAGGGGAAACATTTCCTAATCAAGGTACTGTGACAGGAAGGGTGTAACACAGGATCCCACTATTGCTCAGCTTCTTCCTCTCCAATCCATTTGGTTGTAACCAGCACTGAATGAAGTTTTTTAAAAAAAACAAAACAAAACAATACATTGATGTCACAAAGGGTGCCTTTCCAGGATATCTCTCTCTTCCTTCTTATGGGTAACAAATGCCAATTTACGCAGTCCTCTATATTTTGTTTGGGACGCAGTGACAAAGAGCAGATCCTACTGGTCCCCTGAAATGTTATTTCAGCCTTGCACAAAATGAGTGGAAAAACACAACAGAGTAGCATTTCATAACACTGTTAGAGCAGTCTGGCACTGTTTGCGTCATCCTGAATGATCACCTTTTCAGTTCACCAGCCACCATTTTTCCCCACTCTCCCGTAAAGCAAGGAAAATGGTAGCATCCTCACGTTGTGGAGGTGGGCGCTGGTTGAGGCAGGAAACACTTCACATACGGAGAAATGCAAAAAGAACCCAGTGCTTAAAATGTACAACTCTACTGCATTCCTGTCTTCTTCAATAAACAAAATGATTACACAAAGGGAGAGGGGAGGAGGGAGGGAGAGATAGAGGGAGAGGGAGATTAAAACCCTCTAGCCCAGTGGTCCCCAACCTTTTTATCGCCACGGACCAGTCAGCCTTTGATAATTTTACCGTGGCCCGCTGAGCGCGCGCAGGGGTGGGGGC